AAAAAAAAAAAAAAAAAAAAAAAAAAAAAGAAAGGAGGAGGGATAGGCGAGGAAATGGATGGTTGGAAATGCGAGAGGGCGAGCGCGAAGGAAGGCGGGGAGGATTACGACGGGCTTAAAATTTTTAATTTTGGTTTACGACGCGACTGAAAATCATATTTGCGGGACGCTTCCTCCTTCCGTTTCCCCGTCGTTGATGCAAAACAACGCCGACTGCAGCCAAGCGCCCCACTGAAACCTGCTGCTCCTCTCCCATTTTTTCCTTCCCCCTTCCTCCTGCACATGTCGATGAAACGTTAATTACTTTGCCGCTTTTGAATTCGTCTTCGTTCCGCGCCCGCCCGAAAAACGCGGTGGCAACGCGGTTGCTGCGAATCCGCGCTACTTTTGCACGCCCGATCGATACTCGAACGAATTTAATTAGCCACCACCGGATGATGTATCCTCCCCGTGTTCTACCCCAACAACGGGTAATAATTACGAAAATTGCGATTCATACGTAATCGTGCAAACATACGCCGGCTCGCGAGCGATCGCAATCGCGATAGCCTGTTAATTGCGATTCAACCAAGAAGGTAAAGGTTACTCGATCGAAAGCATCGTAATACGCATCGTAATACATATATACCGTTATAATATACGAGTCATAATTTTGAACGAAAAGCTGCGCTTCAACACCCTCTCGTAGTTCGATCTCTCGTACACCGAGGATAATCTCTTGGAACGGATAATCTCGGTTGGGGAGGCTTGATCCTCCGTTTACTCGATTGCATTCTACGTATCTAGGATTTCCATGTTCGGTGTTCCTCCCGCTCGGATAATTCGATGCCGCGTAATTTCGCGGAGAATGAGATTGGGTGCGCGGGTATCCGTTATCTTGGACGAATCGATTCTCGAGGGAGGAGAGAGCGAGAGCGAAAGAGAGAGCGAGAGAGAGAGAGAGAGAGAGAGAGATCGGTCAAAGCGGATCGTGGTTGTTTATAACCGGTCGCGGGGCCGCGTGGATCGAGTAACTAGGCGGGAAATGAGGCGAACTGACCTGAGGTGGATAGTGATCCGGGAGGGCGTGAAGTGCCTCTCTGTACGCGGACAGGGCCCTTTGTAATCTGCCCTGATCGGCGTAGAGGGCGCCTAATTGAAGGAGAGCCTGCACCCTGGCCGCCTCGTGAGCCCTCTTGTCCTTGAGCCCGGAACCGTCCAAGGATGCGCCGGCCCGCAAAACCGCAGCCGCTTCCGTTCCACGTCCGACCGAGGCCAGTGCCGCGCCCAGATTCACGTAAGCCTCTGCAAAGACAAACGATAAGGATCATCAGACCTTTGGTTCGGGATTACTCTCTCTCTCTCTCTCTCTCTCTCGCTCGCTTTCGCTCTCGCTCTCTCTCTTTCCCATTCGGGATCCGGTCATGAATTTATATAAATCGAAAATCGGCCCCGGTTTTTCCATTTCTCATCCCCAATTTACCAACCAAGGAGACGTACCATTATTTCTCCTTCTCGCTTTCCCCCTTTTCCTCCCTCTTTTGAGAATAGAAAGATTACGGAGAGGAGATTTTTCTCCCCCTTTAGTTTTATCCTCCTCGGTTAATTTTTTTTTCTCTTTTTCGCCAACGAGTTATTAAATCCTCGAGTTATGAGATTCCCTATTTCCAGCGTAATTATCGAAATATGTACAGCGTTGTATGCACAGCGAGAGGAAGAGTGGGTGAAATATACGAAAGGAGAACGACAAACGTCCTGTTGAATCGCTTAATTTAAGAAACTAAGAGAGCGGCGAAATCATAACAGGATCCAATTTTTTGCTCGATTCTGGGAAGCGGAACTGGGCACGGCAGATTTTTCTCGGCGACGAGGATTTCTTTAGAAATTGGGATGGAAGCATGGCCGAGGAAGAGCGAAGGAGGGAGGAGGAAGAAGGAGAGGAGGAGGTCAGTCTTTAACGTAAATCCAGACATTCATAGCCCCTGCTACCACCGCCTCGCCTCCTCGCCTCTGTCCGCTTCTATTTAAAGGGGCATTGGCTCGCTTCCGGAATGGGTTGGGTTTTATGATTCGAGGCTGCGAATCGGGTTAACTCCGCACGAATTCCCGCCTTTTGTCGCGTGTTCCTCCTGTATTTCTTTGGCTAATTACTAAATATCGTGCGAAACGACGGCCTGCCGTACGAAACGACGCGGAAATCGTTCGTTACAGGAAGACGAGGATTATAACTCAACCCTCGGCCTAATTTCCAACCGTTTGTTTCCCACCGGGAAAGGGAGGGGGATTTTAATTTGAAACGAAAAAAAAAAAAAACGTCTCTCCGCGAAGGAATTCCAAAGTTTCCATCTCGAGGAATATCCATTGATTTTTCTTTTCTTCCTTCTCCTTTCTCTCTTCTCTTTTTCTCTTTTCAACTTCCTCCCTCCTGTAAATTTANAGTACAGGCCGTTGTAGCCGTTAAACGATCCGCGGCGACAATGGCCTGGCGACTACCGGGGAGGATATCCAAGAGGCGGACAAAAAGCCGCGGTCGGCTATGACTTTAATTAAAAATTTCAAGTTACGGGAGAGGGGAGGGGGAGAGAAGAGAGGAGAGCATCCTTGCGGCGCGGTTGAATCCCCCGCGTGGCCCGCGTCACCGAACAACCAGGCCAAAGTGAAACGTATTAAAAAGTTTATTTCCACTTTTATTGTCACCCTCCGTGGAAAAACGTGATCCCTTACGCTCGTAAGGGAAAAGCGAATAGGAAAAAGAGAAGAGGGGCCAGGCTTCGAGAGAGGCGAAGAAAGACGAAGGAGGAGGTTGAAGAATGGAAAAGAGGAAGAGAGGAATCTCCGTGGATCGATAAAGCGAACGCGGGAATCTTTCTTAATTCGAGGCAATCTGCTTCTTCCAACGACGGATTTCCAATCCGTGATATCTCTCTCTCTCTCTCTCTCTCTCTCTTTCTCTCCTCCTCGAATCGACCGACTCGATCTTCTAATTTCCTCGCGTTTAACTCTCCGACCCTCTTCCTGGTAATATACTATCATTCCCGAACGCGACTGTTAATCCCGATATCATCCCACGCGATATTACGAGGCTGTCGCAAGACGTTTACCCTCGAGTCGTGCAGTATAAACAGATGGCGAGGAGGAGAACATTTTCATTAACGAGGCGTGTGATGGGCAAATTTTCCGATCCGCCTCCTCTCTGCATCGCTCTCTGTCCCGGCTAAATCCAGTTTCGCCTAAACCAAATCCCTCCATGTTTCTCCATTCTATCCGATTTTTCCTCTAACGATCGGATACCGATGTCGATCCCTTGGGGTGAACCAAGAGTAATCGAGTGGTCCGTTTCTAAAATTCGCATTACCCCTTACCTATACCCTGAAACTCGTTCCGGATCGATCGACGAATTATCTGTGATCGAAGGATCGGTTTAGGCGCGAACCCGACGTTGACTAACCGCACGGGCGGAGCGACGACTTTTCCAAAAGCGCTAATGAGTAATCGATACCTGGGGCGATCCC